ATCCACCTGCCAAACGGCAGCTCAGTCATGAAGGTATAATTTTCCCATTTTACAGACGAGGAACTGAGGCCCAGAGCAGCCTGTCTGTGGAACGTACCCGGGTGAGGCAGAGGCAGTGACAAGATTCGGTGTCCCGCCCCCGGAGGTGACAGGCTTGGTCTCAGAGGGCAGAGTGGCGGTAGCCCATCTCTGGGATGCCCGGCCTGGTGCAGAGAGAGGTGAGGCGGCCGCCTGCCCCGTGAGTTCTGGCTGGGTCCCAGGAGTCCTTTGGTCCTCCTCGTTCTGGTAATGGCATTGACACGGACAGTGACGTGATGGCGGCCCTTCGGGGAGCCTTGGCCAGCCCGGCCGGGGGAAGAGCCCGTGTGGGGCTTAGCAGCAGCAGCAGCAGCCGAGACCTCCCCAGCGAAGCCCCCCGTCCCTGCTCCTGGGCGCTGGGATGCGGACCGCACCTCCCCTACCTGCTCCCCAGACCCCACCCCCATCCTGACACCCGCCTCCCCGGGGGAGCCTCCTGCCCCAACAGAGGATTTGCCTCCAGGTCCTGGCGTTTTGTGGGAGAGAGATAGGGGGCACTCGCCTTGCCTGCAGGTGGAGGCGGCGGTTCAGAGTTGGCCAGCCCTGCTGACCCGCCCCCCCCACCCCTGTCCCTCAGCCGAGGGGACACTTCTGCAGACCTCATCCCGGCCGCCTGCACACCTGCACCAGGCACGCGCCCGACAGTGTGCAGTGCATCCAAGGCAGGCTCTGACCAGTGTCCCAGGTTAGCTGAGCAGGGAGCCCATGTCAGGGGGAGGCGGTACTGCCACCCTGGGTCCCCAGCCTGCCGGCCACTGCTGGCACATGAGACCCTTCCCCGGGCCCCATGGCCGCCTCCCCTCTGGGGAGAGCCAGGGTTGGGTGGAGCGAGGGCTCCTCATTCTTCTAGCTCTGAAGCTCTTGGGTTCGGAGTCCACGGAGGCGCCCCGAGCCGTGTGGCCCCCAGAGGAGCGGGGGCCCAGACACCAGTGGCTTCTGGGGGGGCGGGATTTGCCGAGAGTGACTCACGTTCTGTGGCTGTGCGGCTCTGAACTGGCCCCGCGGACGCGTCAGGTCTTGCTGACTCTTCTTCCCCTTCCCCTTCTAAGATGTCACCATGGCAGGGGACACCTGCAGCCAGCTAGACGGGGGGGTGGGGGGCTCGCCCCGAGATCCCTCTACAGTGCCCCACTCCCCAGCTTTGCCATGTTTCTTCTCTGTGCTGCCAGGGAGAGAGGGGCCTTAAAGCGAGGCCCTTAAAGCGACACTTTGGGCCAGGAGTCACTAGGTCCTGCTGCACCTGTGTGCCCTGGGGCAGGCCTGGTGCGGGGGCGGGGGGGGGCGGGGAGAGGGGGTCATATGAGGAGGGTCCCTTCAGGCTGGGTCAGCCTGGAGCTGTGCCCTCAGCCCACAGCCTGCTTCCCTTCGGGCCAGGCCCTCCCGGGTTTAATGCCCCGGGTGTGGGGCAGTAAAGGGCTCTGCTTCCAGCCGCTTGCCCCTCCCTCTGCACTGGTCACTGGCGGCATTGCAGCCCCGGGGGGGTGGGCAGCAGGCTCGGTGCCCTCCATCGTGTTCCCGCCGATTGCTCGCTGTCTCAGATGCTCTCTCTCCAGCCACCTCTGTCCTCTGCCTCTCCCTTTGACACCCTTAGTACTGTGCTTCCCTGTCCTTCTCAGCCCTGGCCTCCTGTCTGCAGCTCCCTCCCTTCTTCCTTTCCCCCCACCCCCCCACCCCCAGGAGTGAGGGGCGGGGGGGGGGGCGTGCAGCCGGGCGGGGGGCCAAGTGCTATCCGCAGCTCCTTCCCCTGGCTGTCCCCGTTCCCTGGCTCTGACAGGCCTCGAGGGGTGGTGGGCAGGCGGCCCAGGGATGAGGACCGAGTGGCTGACGCACACGGGACAGTGTGACAGGGAGCCTCCTCCCCTTTGGTCTGAGTCACGGGAAGGGGGGGAGGTGAGGGGAGCTGGGCCCTGGCCCAGACCATCCCGGAGACCGGGAGGAGCAGGAAAGAGGGTCGTGGGCAAGGGTCACCTTGAGAGCTCGGCTCTGCAGAGCTTAGAGAGGCTGGGGTGGGGGCTTCTGTCTACCCTGGACTGTTTGGGGTGGGAAGAGGAGGGATAAGACCAGCCCCTGTCCCTAAGCCTGGGTGCCTTCTCCTGGTGCCCTTCCCCTCCCCCTCAACCTCTTCACATCCCCTCAGCATGGCCTTGGGTTTCCAGAGGCTGCAGCCAGCTTGGCTCCTCCCTGACTCCCTGTGCTTGGTTGGAGGGTGCTGGTGTGAGCATCTCTGATACGAAGTTCGGGGGGTGGGAAGGGGGTGAGTGCTCTGTGCCTCTCTGTGGCTAAAGCCGCACCTGTGCACACACACACATTCGTGTGGAACACACATGTGCTTGAACAGGCTGATACACAGCCAGGGACTTGCCTGCGTCCCCGAGATGCGCCTCCATGCACCCCTTCCCACCCCCTCCGCACACGAGCGTGCTCACCTTCATCTAAGTGCACACCCATAGCTGGCACGGGTGCATGCGCGCGTGCACACGGCTGCCTGCACATCCGTCTACTTGCACACAGCTGCCAGCACCCCTGCACTGGCGTTCTGAGCCGGTGCACACCTGCACGCGAGCCTGCATGCAAATGTGGTCCCCAGGTGGGGGTGGCGCACAGAGGGGGAGCTGGGCCACTCAGCCTCCTCCAGCACCACCTCGCTGCCCGTGGGATGGAGCCAGGGCGGGGGTAGGGGGTGGGGACTGAGGCCCTAAGGAGCCAGTAGCTCATGCCAGCTGGGAGCTTAGGTCTCCTGACTCTGGCCCCAAGCCTGTGCGGCACAGCCGAGGACAGAAGTGCTCCGTGCCACTTGGGCACCCCTCCCTGCTCCTGACCGCCTTGTCCCCCACCCCCGCCCCCACTGGCCACTCCTGGCGGTCCAGCCCAACGGGTCCTGCATCACAAGTCCCAGCCATCACAGGCTCGGTCGCCCTGTCCGCCTTTAATCCACATCGCATGCCCGGTTCACCTGCTGCCTCCTCGACACATACTGTCTGGACTTCTTTGGGGATAGTCTCCCTCCCTGCTTCCGCTTCCTCTGTTCCAGCCCTCCGGGGCTCAGGGCTGTAAATTGGTTTTGCTTTAACAGCCGAAGTTTAATATATTTTTTTTTTCCGAAGTGCTCTCTCTCCTGGAGTTTCCCAGGAGGAAGAGCATGAGGTAGAGCTGGCTCTTGTGAACAGTCTCGGGCTTTCCTTGTCCAAATGTGGATTTCTCTGGCCCAGCCTCCATGTCCCTGGCCGCTGCCCAGGGCGAGGGGAGGGCACACCCCCGAGCCAGCGTTGAGCGGGAGCCCGGAGCCACCTCTGGCTGAGAGAGCAAGTCTCCCCTGGCCTGGGGCTCAGGCTCCCCACCCATCAAGCGAGGGTCTGCGGGCTGTGAACTCGGTACCACCGACGCTGCCCCTCTGCGTCTCGGGGCATGGGCAACGTGGCGCACCTTACTCCTTCCACATCGGATGGACAGGCCTGGTCCCCACTTCACGGTGTGGTCTTTCCGCCTGGCTCATCGGGCTGGACGGCGGGGCTCCAGGCCTCCTGTGTCTTCGTGCCTGGGGAACCTCGATCCTGGCCCAGGCTGCATTCTGGGCCTCTGACTCCAGCTACAGAGGAAACACAGGGCTTTGGCCACACTATTCCAGATGCTTCCGGCTTCCTCGTCGGCCTGAGGCCTTCTCACTCCAGCATCGGGGACCTCTAACGGAAAGCACTTTGGGGAAGTGATATTGGGGGTGTGCGTGGCTTCCTGGGCTCTTGCCCTCTCTCCCTCTGCGCTGCTCCTGCCTATAGGATGAGTTCCCCCCATGCCCTCCCCCTGCGGGAGAGCCCGGCTTCTGCGTCCCCCCTGCTTGGGGGGCCCACAGCCGTGCCACTCCGCTCCCCCTCCCCCACGCAAGCTGAGACAAGGGAATTATTTTTGGAACAAGAGCGGTTACACAACAAATGAATTATTTATGTTTGCGCACGGAGGGGAGGAGGCTTTTTGCTGGGCTTCTTAATTCCTTCTTATCTGGATTGGAAGGTGCCCGTTTGGGTCGACGGTCGCGTGCGCACGCGCCCATTTGTCAAACGTAAGACCGTCGTGGCACGCGGTGGCGTTCTGGCTCACGTGCGGGCGTGTTGGGTTTTCACACGGGCAGGTGGACGAGCGTGGACAGGAGTGCTGGGTGTGTGTGTCCGTGCGCGTGCGCATCCAGCCTGTTACCCGTCCGGTCTCCTTCCCTGTCCGCCATCCTCAGATTCTGTCCTCCTTTCCCTACTCTGTGTTTCTTCTGTCCCCTTCCTCCCAGACCTCTCGGTCCCCTCCTCCCTGTCCTGCTGCCCGCCACCACTCCCTTCTTTTATGTAACAGGGACCCCAGAGTGCTGCTGGCACCTGGGAGCCCCAGCGGGACTGGGCGGAGAAGGGACAGGGGCCTGTGCTGGGGCTTCGTGGGGCTTGTCCTGAGCGTCCGCTGATCTGTCACCCTCTCCCCTCTCGGTGCTGCCTTTCAGGATCCAGGTGACAGATGGGTCTTTTCCTTCCTGCCCCGACTCTCGAGCTCCCACCTCAGAGCTTCACTCTCCAGCCTCCCATGGGAATCGTGGGAATCGTCTGAAGTTCTGAGCCCAGAACCAGAGAAGACGACAGAGAGGAAGTCAAGTCTCGAGAGCCTGTGCGCCTTCACGAAACAGGCGGCAGGGTGTGTCCCTGCTCAGGGGCGGCGCCTGGCACCTGCTGATAGTGCCCCCCACCCCCTGCCGGAGAAGCCCCGGCAGTTGGCACTGGCCGTGTCTGCTTCACTTGGGGCCCCCGTGCTGGGGGTCGCCCCCAAGATGGTGGCGGCCCCCGGGAGGACTGTGCTGCCAGCCCCCGCCTCCCGCTGCTAGGTGCCCCCCGCGCCCCGGCCCCTCACCCCCAGCCCGGCCTCCCGGGGGAGGGGGGGCCGCGGCCGGCGCCATGCTGCGCCTGGGGCTGTGCGCCGCCGCGCTGCTGTGCGTGTGCCGGCCAGGCGCCGTGCGCGCCGACTGCTGGCTCATCGAGGGCGACAAGGGGTACGTGTGGCTGGCCATCTGCAGCCAGAACCAGCCGCCCTACGAGACCATCCCGCAGCACATCAACAGCACCGTGCACGACCTGCGGCTCAACGAGAACAAGCTCAAGGCCGTGCTCTACTCCTCGCTCAACCGCTTCGGGAACCTCACCGACCTCAACCTCACCAAGAACGAGATCTCCTACATCGAGGACGGTGCCTTCCTGGGCCAGTCGAGTCTGCAGGTGCTGCAGCTCGGCTACAACAAGCTCAGCAACCTGACGGAGGGCATGCTGCGCGGCATGGGCCGCCTGCAGTTCCTGTTCGTGCAGCACAACCTCATCGAGGTGGTGACGCCCGCCGCCTTCTCCGAGTGCCCGAGCCTCATCAGCATCGACCTGTCCTCCAACCGCCTCAGCCGCCTCGACGGCGCCACCTTCGCCAGCCTGGCCAGCCTCATGGTGTGCGAGCTGGCGGGCAACCCCTTCAACTGCGAGTGCGACCTCTTTGGCTTTCTCGCCTGGCTGGTGGTGTTCAACAACGTCACCAAGAACTATGACCGCCTGCAGTGCGAGTCGCCGCGCGAGTTCGCCGGCTACCCGCTGCTGGTGCCCCGGCCCTACCACAGCCTCAACGCCATCACCGTGCTCCAGGCCAAGTGCCGCAACGGCTCGCTGCCCGCGCGGCCCGCCAGCCACCCCACGCCCTACTCCACCGACGCCCAGAGGGAGCCCGATGAGAACTCGGGCTTCAACCCGGACGAGATCCTCTCGGTGGAGCCGCCGGCCTCATCGTCCACCACTGACGCGTCCGCGGGGCCGGCCATCAAGCTGCACCACGTGACCTTCACCTCGGCCACGCTGGTGGTCATCATCCCGCACCCCTACAGCAAGATGTACGTCCTGGTGCAGTACAACAACAGCTACTTCTCTGACGTCATGACGCTCAAGAACAAGAAGGAGATCGTTACGCTCGACAAGCTGCGCGCGCACACCGAGTACACCTTCTGTGTCACCTCGCTGCGCAACAGCCGCCGCTTCAACCACACCTGCCTGACTTTCACCACGCGGGACCCCGTGCCCGGCGACCTGGCACCCAGCACCTCCACCACCACCCACTACATCATGACCATCCTGGGCTGCCTCTTCGGCATGGTCATCGTGCTGGGCGCCGTCTACTACTGCCTGCGCAAGCGGCGCATGCAGGAGGAGAAGCAGAAGTCCGTCAAGGTCAAGAAGACCATCCTGGAGATGCGCTACGGGGCCGACGTGGATGCCGGCTCTGTCGTCCACGCTGCCCAGAAGCTGGGCGAGCCTCCCGTGCTGCCTGTGTCCTGCATGCCCGCCCTCCCCTCCATGATCGGGGAGAAGCTTCCCACCTCCAAGGGGCTGGAGGCCGGGCTGGACACACCCAAGGTGGCCACCAAGGGCAACTACATCGAGGTGCGCACAGGCGCGGGGGGCGATGGCCTGGCTCGACCCGAGGACGACCTCCCGGACCTGGAGAACGGGCAGGGCTCGGCCGCCGAGATCTCCACCATCGCCAAGGAGGTGGACAAGGTCAACCAGATCATCAACAACTGCATCGATGCCCTCAAGCTCGACTCGGCCTCGTTCCTTGGGGCAGGCGGCGGCGGCGGGGACCCTGAGCTGGCCTTCGAGTGCCAGTCCCTCCCCGCCGCCGCCGCCGCTGCCGCCTCCTCGGCCGCTGCCCCTGGGGCGCTGGAGCGGCCCAGCTTCCTCTCGCCCCCCTTCAAGGAGAGCTCCCACCACCCGCTCCAGCGCCAGCTGAGCGCCGATGCTGCCGTGGCCCGCAAGACCTGCAGCGTGTCATCCAGTGGCTCCATCAAGAGTGCTAAGGTCTTCAGCCTGGACGTGCCCGACCACCCGGCCGCCGCGGGGCTGGCCAAGGGCGACTCCAAGTACATCGAGAAGGGCAGCCCTCTCAACAGCCCACTGGACCGGCTTCCGCTGGTGCCCGCAGGCGGCGGCGGGGGCGGCGGGGGTGGTGGGGTCCACCACCTGGAGGTGAAGCCCGCCTACCACTGCAGCGAGCACCGGCACAGCTTTCCGGCCCTGTACTACGAGGAGGGCGCCGACAGCCTGAGCCAGCGCGTGTCCTTCCTCAAGCCGCTGACCCGCTCCAAGCGGGACTCCACCTACTCACAGCTCTCGCCCAGACACTACTACTCGGGCTACTCTTCCAGCCCGGAGTACTCCTCCGAGAGCACGCACAAGATCTGGGAGCGCTTCCGGCCCTACAAGAAGCAGCACCGCGAGGAGGTGTACATGGCCGCCGGTCACGCCCTGCGCAAGAAGGTCCAGTTCGCCAAGGATGAGGATCTGCATGACATCCTCGATTACTGGAAAGGGGTCTCGGCCCAGCAGAAGCTGTGACCCTCTCCTTCCCGGTGAGGTCGGAGGGGGAGGGCAGGGGGCACGCGGGGAAGGACCCCACCCCCGGGCGGCCGGGCAGGGGACGCCGCGGGGAGGGGGGCGCAGGGGGTCCCCGAGCCCGAGGAGCCGACGCACACGCACACCCGCACGCACGCACCCATGCACACACCTGACCACCACCTGACTGTGAACAACCACCACCCGACAATAATGGACAGGAAAACAGACACGTTCTCCTTAAAGTTTACACACTGATACCGAAACCAGTCGTCTTTACTGTGCTGCCCAGGGGGTCTGCTGGGGTGTGTGGGGGCCGGGGAGGGGGGAGTGCAGGCCAGGAAGCTGAAACGGGGTGTGGGGTCTGGGGCTCTGGGATGAGGGACAGGTTTGGGGGCAGGGGAGTCTGGGGTGGGAAGAGGGTCCCCCGGTCTGGGGGACAGGTCACTTGGAGATTTGGCACCAGGCAGACTTGGGGCATCGTTTCCTTTCTTTACGGTTAGGGAAACCAAGGCCCGGAAAAAAGGAAGTGATGACCCCAGGGCCCCGTGTCGGGTTAGGCAGTTTCCCAGCTTTCAAGCCCAGTGCTGTCCCCTACCCTTTGTCCGCCTGCCACCCCGTTGCAGAGCTGTGGTCTCCTGGAGCTGAGGGACTTGCGAATTGGGCAGGTGCTTTTCCTTTCTAGAAAGCCCCATGGCCACACCCCCTGGGCGTGGAGCTGTGATTCATCACTCTGGGGGGGTCCTTTGACCGCCCCACGCCACCCCCCAGTAGGGGCTGGAGGTCTGGCTCCCGAGAAAGGAGCAGAGGCACGGGGCCATTCCACCAGCCCCCTTCAAGTGTCTTCCAAGTGGTCTGGAAGCGGGTGGGGCCAGCCGCCACCGCCTCTCAGGTGCAGGCCCCCTTGCTACAGCCCCCCAGCCTCTCTGGGCCTCCAGGACCCCATCTCATCCCAGAAGGGTGGCCCTGAACTGTGATGCCTGGGAGCAGGGGGGAGGCAAGGCATAATGGGGGCCTTCCTACCTATGCGCCCACCTCCCGGCCTCCCACCTGCCTGACTCCTGTGGCGGGATCTCAGGGCGGCCCCTCGGCCTGCCCAGAGGGAGGAGGGCTTTCCCAGGCTGTGCCCATCCATCCCGGCCCCACCCCCTGGCTGCAGGGGGCTCCCATGTTTCCACGGAAATGGCCGCTCCCCCCCTTGCTGACCCTCACCCAACATCGAACAAAGCACAAACAGTGAGCACCCACCCCCCCAGGGGGCGGGGAGCGGGCAGGTTGGTGGGGCCCCTCCCTCTCCCTGGCCAGCTTCTGTCGCCATGGCAACCCAGGGCCTGGCAGTTGGGACGGTTGGGCTCCTGGGGGTTCTCTCTCAGTGTGGGCGGCAGCAGCGGGCGGTGAGGGAGGGCAGGGCCGGGGGAGGCTGCGGCCTTTCTCAGCAGCTAGGGGCTTTCAGGGTTGAGTCTGGGTGGGGACAGATCTGGGGTCCTGAAACTGAGGGGGGGGGCTTAAACACACTGTCAGGGTGTTGAGGGGCCCCTCACCTTTGATTAGGACGCAGGCCACCGGGGGTGGAGGTAGCTATAGCTTTGCCCCCCTGCCAGTGTGCTCTTTGGCTCCCCACCCACGTCAGGATGGACAGGAGCCCACTCAGCTCTCCCCACGCCCCTGCCGGAAACCCCCAGCCTCCAGCCTGTCACCCAGTTGGGTTTCCTGAGATTTGGGGAGTGTGGCTGTGGGCTGAGGGTGGGCACTGGGGTGGGACCAGGACCTGGGATGGGGATCTGACCAGGGAAGCTAGTGCCATCTCCTGGGCCGGGAGGCGGGGAGGGGGCTCTAGCGATCTCCCCGCCAAGGGTAGAGTCTGGGCGAGGACTGTGCAGAGGGCTTAGGGCTCACCTGAGCACCTCTCTTACACCCACTTGGGGGACAGACCAAGCCCAGGGCTCACTTGGGGAGGGGGTGACATTTGCCAAGAAAGGACTGTTCTTCTGGGGAGGGGAGGAGAGGGGCCGGCATGGATGTGCAGAGAGTGGACCTCCCTCCAGCCCCCAAACCTGCCCTCCCCCCACCCCTCCTCACACCAGATTGGCAAAACCGAGAACAGCAAGCCGGCTGAGCCAGTGGTGTGAGAGAGCAGGCTCCCATTATATTTGCATGATGATTTTACTGTATTTTTCTGAGCAAAACATCTGTCGTGTATGTGCGGTTTGTCCAGACTCCCAGGCCCCCTCCCCGCAGCCCCCCCTCCCCTTGCCCGCACCCCCTCTGTTGTGTTCTGACAAGTAGCTCTTGAAACCCGGGGGAGGGGCCGGTTCTGCAAAAGACCCAAAGCCGGTGCCACCCTAACACACCCCTGCCCCACACCCGTCCCCCTGTCTTTCTGAACGTGGGGCCCCACCAGTGCCCGCCTCACCCCTCTGGTCTCCGGTTTCATGCCCTTGCCCCCTGCCCCTCCTCCTTGCCGGGGAAGGGTGGCCCCCAGGGGGAAGGGAGCGTGGGAGGACCTCCGTGTGTCCCACCTGCGCCATTTTTTCAGGTGAAAAAGTTGGGGCCCCTCCAGAGAGGGAGGGGGCGGGGAGATTTGGCCACTGGGTTGGGGGAGGGGGTCCGTCACACAGCTGCAAGTGGTGGAGAGCTTGGGGGCTTCATGTGTGGCTGGGGCCCCTGAGGGAGGGACCCAGGGGAGCAGCTGGGGCCCAGGGTTGGCATGGCTTCCCTGGAGATAGAGACCCCATGGTGTGGGGCGGAGTGGGGAGGGGTCCCAGCAGGAGCCTCCCTCCCCACACCCCCCACTCCCCGGCCATTCCTGGTTGAAGATGATCTATAAAAACCTCAGACCATCTCACCCTTAAGGATAGGTCCCCATCTCAACAGCAAGGGTCTTGCCACTCCAGGAAGTAAGCCAGCCTCCATGATCGATCGATCGATCGGTCGTGAGGACACCAATCTTTGAGAATAGGCTGATAGGCCTCTGGCCTCCCAGCCAGGCTTGGGTCATAGGCTGCTTTCTCTTGAACTGAGGAAACGGGCCAGGGTACCGTAGACCACCCTGAAGGCCCTCTCGCATCTGTGTCCTGTGTCCTGTTCAAGATAATTCTTCTCCAGTGGGGAGCAACATAGTCACGAAAGACAAATGACCATTTATTTCAGAGTCCAGCCGGCTGGGGCCCTGGGTTTGTAACAATGAGCACAGTGGGCCCGGGGCCACAGCCTGGGCAGGCTAGCCAGGCAGGCGGCGGAGAAAGAAGTGAAGGGGGGGTGGGCTACTGGCGAGGAGGGCAAGCCAGCCCGAGGAGATGTGAGTGCTGCGCCCTGGAGCTCCTGGGGGAGGCCCCCTTGCCTTGGGTCATGCCTGGGCTTGCTGTCCCTGTCAGTCTCCCGAGGAAATTCCTGGGTGCCCGTCCCCGGGGGGAGTGGTGTCCATGGGTCTTTTTTTCACCGGGAGGGCTGGCACTGCTAGCCCGTTGGAGCCAATGGCCTTCTGGGGGCGAAAAGTGGGGGTCTGGAGGGGAAAAAAGCCCTTAGTCTGGGGAGATACCTCCTCAGGGGTCCCGGGGCCTGCCCCTGCCTGCTGGAGTCCCCTCACCTCTGCCCCCCTCCTGGGGACAGCGCCTGGGGGTGGGGTGGGGCTATCTTCGGGGTGGGGGGAATGGAAAGGCCCACTTTCGAAGAAGAGGAGGCTTGCATAGCCCCCAGAGGGGCAGGGGAGAGTCTGGGCCTGGCAGCGGGCCTCTAAGGTTCCCATTTGGAAGTCACTCCCCGCCCCCACTCCTGGAAATGGAACAGAGTGGAAACAGCAGCTCAGGAAACGGAAAGAAGGAAATCTTCTAGGGTCCCAAACCCAGCTGAGGGACAGGCTGAGTCCAAGAAGGGGCCCAGGCGTGGGAGGGACGAGTAACAGGTCCCGGCTTGTAAGGGGCTCACGTGCAGAGAAGGGACAGCCACAAAACGTTCCCCAGCAAGGGACATGTGAAGAGATTTAAAACAGGGTGATGGAATGGGGAGGGGCTCAGGGCACCCGGGGGGGGGGGGGCAGGCTCAGAGGACTAGCAAACTGGCTATGCAGACAGGGACAGAGGGAGCAGGTGAGGAGTGGCTGGATGTCCCGAAGAACGTCCTCAGGTGCCCCCACTATGTGCTCCACCCCCTCCGAGGGAGCCTACCCTTCAGCAGCATCCCACCCCATTCCTGGCCAAGCACGGGGTGGGGGGCTGAGGGGTGTCTTTCTGGGTGGAAGCGCTGGGGGGGGTGACCCCCGAGGGGCAGGGCTGACGGATGAGGGGTGGGGCTTGCCGGACCCCAGTGCTGTTCCCCTCCCGTCCCCGCCTTCCGCTCCACAGACCCTCGGCCCTGGGAGCTGCCATGGCCCTTGTCCATCCTGACCCTGTGTCCTCCCCCCCGCCATTTAAGACCCAGTATTTACACTTTTTGCCTCTCACGCCTGCCCCAAAGGCCTCACTAAAGGTCCCTCACTGCTGCTGAGCAGGAGGGAGAAGGGAAGGGGGGGTCGAATAGGGTGGGTGGGGGGCCCCGGGCCTCCTCTTCCTCTCCTTGCCCCTCGCCAAACAAGCACAGGGCTGGATGGGGGCCGGGGTCCCTCCTCGCTGCCTGCCTCCCTCCTTCCCTTCCTCCCTCCCTCCCTCCACAAGGAGGCGCCAGGCCATGGGCCCTGCGGCTTGGCACCCGGTCTGGGCACTGCAGGGCCGGACTCCTGGCCCCGGGCTATGAACCTGTGAACCCTAGCTGTGTGGACTTTTCCTTCCTCGGGGGGAGGGAGGGCTGAAACCTCTCCTTTTCTTCTTTTGGTGGGGGGGGGGCTTCATTTACTTTCTCTTCCCTGTATCTGCCTCTCCCTCCTCCCCAATTTCCTGTTTTAAACTGAATGGCACGAAATTGTTTTCCTCAACTCGGAGATTCCTGTATGGAGAGAATCAATTTCTATATTTGCAATAAATTTCTTATTTAAAACGATGGGGCCAAGGTCTGTGTTGAATGTCGACCCCTCCCCCTC